TTTATTTCAGTAAAGATTTGAAGGCAATGAACAATGTAACAATTTTGTGTTCTGGCTTCCATTGTTGCTTCTGAGAAAATAGCTGTCTAACATCCAGTCCTTTGAAGATTAACTGTCTTGTTTTCTCTGGCTGCTTTCAAGATTTCTTCTTTGTTTTTTTGGATTTTTTTCAATTTCACTAGCTATAGAACTCTTTTATTTATTGTAGAGATTATTTGGGCTTCCTGAATCTGTGGGTAGGTGTTTAACACTAGTTTGGGGTCATTCAGTTATTATCATTTCAAACATTGACTCTGCCCCACCCTATACTCTTTGAGTTTTATTTAAGTGCATGTCAAACTTTTCTTCATGTCTTTGAACTTTACTTTTTATTTCATATCTAGAGCTCAAGTTTGCCTCAGTAGATTCATGTCCTTAGGCAAAAGCAGCTCACCCTTCTGAGTTCCTACTTTGGCTTCACCTTTGGCCTGGTGATTCTTTCCTATCTTGTCAAGTCTTTGATATGTTTAAGAAAATGCTTTTTTATTGTCTTTAGCCTAAGGTTTGGTCAAATTAATTGAACCTAACATATTCCTGGAACACAAGACATTTGTTTTTTAGGAGATATTTGCTATATTAGGGTCTTAAGAGCTTAATCAAAATTTAATTATGCTTTTACTAAGTTTCCTGATTCTTTTTAAAAACTAATGAAACCAAAGACTCTAAAAGAATCTAAAACAACCCTGAATTTCTCTGACTTTTTTGACAGTTGAATGATCTAACTTAATTGCTTTTTCACCTTTTAGTTCTTGCTTTATCTGCACTGAGAACCTTTTCTGTCATCTCCCTTTTTAGTTTCCCTTTGTGCTAGTCTTGCTAGCCAACACTTAAGACTCAATGTAAATATTTCAAAGGCATAAAAAAAAATTTTAATGTAGGGAACAATTATCATATATCTTATTATTGAAGTAAAAATATTGATCATTGCATTCATCACAACAGCCATGGTATAATCAAAGTATGCCAGTTGACTAGAGGTAACAGAAAGTAAATCTTACCCAGACCTGTCCTACAATCGTATCAAATTATTTCCCCCTTTTAATCTTATCCTTTATTCTATATCTAAGGATAGATTTATCATTCATTGTCATTCAAGCTTACACTGATACAGATTTTAAAAATATAACAGTGATACTATTTAAAATAAAATTGAAAAGATCTAGAACAATTTATTAGAATGTTACAAGTAGGGCCATGGCATATAGTCATGTAGCTTGTGCACTATACAATCCTAGAGGTTGCCACTAACATAAGAATCCACAAACATAAAAGGGGGCCCTGGACCAAGATAATTCTTTGATAATTTTTAATGAGAAATTGTCCAGTGTCAAGGTCTAGATTTCACTATTTAAATGCTAGCAAATAGTTTTCTCCGTAATTGATACTATCTCACCAGCTGTCCTTAGCACCTTAAAAATGTGCTAAGAACCAGTAACTCTTCAAATAATTTTTATTGATTACTTAGATAGGACTGAGTTAATACAACTTGCACCAGGAGATGAAGACAAGTTCTAGCTGAAAAGATTAAAATGTCTTAAATGTATAATGAGTAAGAGTTTAAAAAGCCACAGATTTTTCTCTTTGATCAAAGATCCTAGGAACCTTATGACCTAACAGAATGTTCTCTAGTTTATGCAAAAGGCAATAGAAGCTATAGTACTTCAAATACCATAAAACGTCTCTATTATGAAGTAAATATTCAGCTTTAAGGAAACATATTTCAGGCTTAACAACTGAAAGCAATATTTTCAATGATGCCTGGTCTTTACTAAGCTCTTTCTTTTAATATACCGCACTTTTATTGATTTCAAAGAGGAAGGGAGAGGAAGAGGGAGATAGAAACATCAATGATGAAGGAGAACCTTTGATTTGCTGCCTCTTGCATGCTCCACACTGGGGATTGGGCCCGCAACCTGGGCATGTGTCCTGACTAGGAATCACACTGTGACCTCTTATTTCATAGGTCGATGCTCAACCACTGAGCCATGCCAGCCTGGCTGTACTATACTCTTCATGATCCTTGTTCTCTTTTCAGGATGATGGCTGGAATCACCCTTCATTCTGCCATTTCCTGCTCTCATTTGAGAGTGGAGTACAAGCTCTCTTCAATGAAAGGCATGGTTTATTTTGATCAGAGGCCCAAGCTCTAGCCCATAATAACTAGTCACTGTGTACCATGACTAATTTAACTGACAATATTTTATATGCCACTTAGGTCCTACCCTAGGAGTTGGCAAAACTCAAGAATGTGTTTGCAGCCCTGGCCAGTGTAGCTCAGTTCATTGGAGTGTCAGGCCATATACTGAAAAGTTGTGGATTTGATTCCCCGTCAGAGCAAACACCTAGATTGTGGATTTGATCCCTGGTCAGGGCAAGTACAGAAGGCAATGATCAATGATCTCTCTCATGTCGATGTTTGCTATAATTGCATGCATTATAACCTCTCTCTCTCTCTCTCTCTCTCTCTCTCTCTCTCTCTCTCTTTCTCTCTCTCTCTCTAATGAAACAAATTCTCAGGGGAACTGAGTTCAGAAATAAAATATAAATTAATATTTTTAATTTTTAAATGAAGCTTTTTATAATATACATATAATTGTACAATTCAGTGAATTTCAGGGACTGAACACATCCATGTAACAGAAGCCCCCTTGTGCATACTCCTAATTATTACACCCCCTCCCTCTTCCAAGGATAACTACTCTTCCAACTTCCTACTCCATCGATTAGTTTCGTCTGCTTTTGTTCCTCATATGAATGGAATCATGTACAATGTGCATTCTTTTATGTATAAGGTTCATTAATATTGTGTGTAGCTGTAGCAGACACATTTTCCTCCAGAGAGGCATTGCTACATTTTTGCACAATTATATTAGCATTCTCTTTTGAATGGCTCATTATTGAGGATCAATAATATGCCATTATGAACAGAGAGAAGATAAAAGTGCTGAAGAGGAACAACAAACCACAGGCAGTTTACAATATATTAATGTAGCATATTAATATACGTGAGGCCTGGTGCATGAAATTCTTGTATGGGTAAGGTCCCTTGGCCTGGCCCACAATCAGGGCCAATAAGGATCTTCCTTCCAGCTGCCTACCAGGGCCTTCCTTTGTTCTGCGCCGCCCCCTGGTGGTCAGTGCATATCATAGCGAGCGATTGAACTCAGTCTCCTGGTCAAACTCTCAAGGGGACAATCTGCTTATCAGGCTTTTATATAGAGAGATTAATATGTAACAATTTATTGATTTAAAACATGTAAGCTCTCTTTGGAAGAAGGATTTACCTCCTGGTCTGAGACCAGGAAAGTATCACCACCCTGGTACTGGCGATGGCTATAAATTATAGGATTCTTAAAAATTGCCCACTTTTCTTGGAGACTAAGAATTTGTGATTTATCTCAATCTTTCTATGCCCTCAACCCTATAATCCCTGCACTCTCTGACCCTGTACATACTAGGTGCAAATATTCTTTGACTGACTGAGTACAGAGGACAACTAGCTTTTATAGTGCCTTCACAGTACCAGCCATTATGCAAAGATCTCTTGTTTACTCAATACAAGAACACTATCAGGTCGGTTTGTGCTCTTATTAACATTTGTTAAATGGGGAATCCTGGCCATTGTACATAACCTGTCCAATGTCACTCAGATATTGAGTGGCCAGGACCTGTGACTACTCTCTTTAGTCTTCACTGCTTCATACACACACTCTATCTTAATTTGGCAGAAGGCAGAGTTGGCAGGGTTCATGGGTACCCTGTGGCCTGGAGCTCTCCCAGCTGAGAACACACAGCCTGGACTGTCCCAGCCACTTCCCCTGTGGTCACAGAGAGGAAGCCTTCTCATTGGGCTGTCATTGCCTCCTGCTGTGAAAGGGACAGACACAGACTTAGCATTTACAATTCTAACTCTGTGTGCCTACCTCCCCTAAGCCTTTGTCCTACCTCCACCACTTGTATCTCTTATTCAGACCTCACATCTCATATGATGAATGTTGGCCTTCAATAAATATCTGTTGAATGAATGAATAATGACTGGTAAAATCGGTTCTTAGATTCGGTTCTGATGTAAACTTTGCTTTTAAAAAAAATGTTGACTGTCCTTTTGACTACTAAAAATGGAAGCAATAATAATGAACTAATATGTAATTAAGAGGAAATGTAATGTACCCATCTTTTTATAATCTAGGACATATAAACAGGAGTAGATTATTTATAAGATTCTTTGATCCCTTCTAATTCTTAGCATAGTTTTTAACTCGATTTTATTTGGTAATAATTATACAGGGTGTCCCAAAAAATATATACACACTTTACCAGCTTATAGCTCAATTTTGAAAATGAAATGTACTTTAATAAACACTGCCTTTATAATAATTCATATTATGTGTATATAGCCCAGCTAGCATAGCTCATTAATTGTGTGTCAACCTGTAAACCAGGAGGTCATGGTTCAATTACCCATTAGGACATGTGCCCTGGTTGCAGGCTTGATCTCTAGTGTGGGCGTGCAAGAGGCAACTAATCAATGATTCTCTTTCATCATTGATGTTTCTCTCTCCCCCTCTCTCTCCATTCCTCTCTGAAACCAATAAAATACATTTTAAAAAATGAAGTGTGTGTATACATTTTTGGGGGACACCCTATATATGCAGTATTTTGGATTTTAATTTCTTCTTGATATTTTGCATGTGTTGATGATTTTCATAAATTCACATGGTCAACCTTGCTTGTCATTTTTAACATAATATAATATCCCATTGAGTGGTCCTCCTATAATAAACATAGGTTTTGCTTTTTTGTAGCCAGCAGCCACCTGGCATTGCCATTGATTTATAACTATAGTTATTTAAAGAAAGCAGGATTACAGTTTTCCTGGTTGAAGACATGACCTTTTGGTATTGCTTTGTTGTGATTACGGCAAGATGTGATGATATATTTTCCACTTATTTTATTCCAGGATGTTTTTCTCTGGCGTGCTATGTGGCCATGTTGGCAGACCTGAAGAACTTTTACTGATATTCAAGATATTCCTTGTCATTCATCTTCACGTTGTTTTGGCTACATCTCTGGAAGGTAAAGTACTTGTTTTCCTTCATTGGTGTGTAAGCATGTGTGTGTTTATTTAAGAATTTCTTACTGTAGTAAAATAAACAACATAAAACTTACCATTTTAAAGTATACAAATCACTGGCATTAAATATATTTGCAATTTTGTGCACACATCACCACTGTTTATTTCCAGAACATTTTCATCATCTCAAATAGAAACTCTATACCCATTAAAAAATAACTTTCCATACCCCTTCCTCCAGTCTCTGATCAAACTTCTATTCTTTCTGTTGCTGTGAATTTGCCATATCAGTGGAATCATTCAATATTTATTCTTTTGTGTCTGACTTATTTTATTTAGTATAATGTTTCTGATGTTCATCCATATTGTAGCATGTATCAAAATTTCATTCTTTTTAAAGGCTGAATAATACTCTACATTTTGTTTATTCATTGGTGATGGACATTTGGATTATTTCCACCTTTGACTATTGTAAATAATACCTTCAACATTGGTGTACAAGTATCTGTTTGAGTCCCTGCTTTTATTAATAATTCTTTGGAATACATATATATATATATATATATATATATATATATATATATATATATATTTGTAGGATTGCTGGGTTATTTGGTAGTTCTGTTTTACTTTTTGAGGATCTACCAAACTGTTTTGGACAGTGGCTGTACCATTTTACATTCCTACCAGCAAGGCACAAGGATTCCAGTTTCTCTATATCTTCATAATCACTTGTTATTTTCTGTTGTTTTGATAAGGGGTGTGAAATGGCATATCCTTGTGGTTTTGACTTGCATTTCCTTAATTATTAGTGATGTTGATCATCTTTCATATTCTTATTAACCATTTGTATATCTCTTTTGGAGAAATTTCTTCAAATCTTTGGCCCATTTTTTAATTGGGTTGTTGGGAGTTTTTTGTTGTTGAGTTTTAGGAGTTCTATATATATTCTAGATATTAATCCTTTATCAGATCTATGATTTACAGTATTTTCTCCTATTCTGTGGGTTTTCTTTTCACTCTCAATAGTGTGCTCTGATGCACAAAAGTTTTTAATTTTGATGAAGCCCAGTTTATCTATTTTTATTTTGTTGCCTGTGCTTTTGCTGTAATATCTAAGAAATCATGTCATGATTTCCCACTTTGTTTTCTTCTAAGAGTTTTATAATTTTAGCTTTTTAAATTGATTCTTTATTGATTAAGTATTATACAGGTGTCCATATCCCCCATTGCCCCCACCCCACTCCCATACATGCCCTTTCCCCCCTGGTGTCTGTGTCCATTGGTTAGGCTTATATGCATGCATACAAGTCTTTTGGTTGATCTCTTCCCCTAACCCTCACCCTCCCCTACCTTCCGTCAGAGGTTTGAATATCTGATCGATGCCTTTCTGTCTCTGAATCTGTTTTTGTTCATCAGTTTATGTTGTTCATTATAATCTGAAAATGAGTGAGATCATGTGATATTTATCTTTCTCTGACTCATTTCATTTTGCATAGTTTTAGCTCTTGTGTTTGGACACTTTAATCTACTTTGAGTTCATTTTGTGATTATGGTGTAACATACGGGTCCAACTTCATTCTTTAGCACACATATATTCAGTTTTCCCAGCACCATTCATTGAAAAGACTGTCTTTTCCCCATCAAATAATATGGGCACCTTTGTAAAATAACAAATGGCCACATATGTGAGGGTTTGTTTCTGATATTTAGTTGTGCATGTGTTTTTTAAGTATCTATTTGAAGACACTTCTGCATGGAAATTTAAGAGAGGTAGAGAATCAGCAAAATGAAGCAGCATATATTTCAGAAAACAGGATCTATATATTATGAAACAAGGAGAAAAGGTATCTGAGGAAGGCAGTAAAAAGGCTAGAAATCCTGAGTACAACTGCCAAAATAATACAGTGCGATGCTAATGTAAAAAACACTCCCTAGGAATGTTATTTAAAAAGGCATTATTAATGACAGAGAAACACCTTTCTTATTCAAAAAAGTAGCAGGACCAAGGACTCTACATTGGCTAAAGCAAATATTTGCTAGTTCCAAACAAACAATAGCATAAATAAAATATACACACAACACACATACATGCTCATAAAATCTATGGAGAACTTTCCAACAGGGTAAAACACAATTGGTAGTCCTTCAAAAAGTAAACACTGGGGGCATGTTGTCAAAAAGCCACAATAGTTTATTTAAAAATGATAAGAGCTAAACTTGCACTGACTTCTTATAGTGTGCCAGGTCCCTACGTGCTTTACATACATTCATTCTCTTAAGCTTCTCAACCAATTCTATGAAAGGGAGATTCTAGTCTTGGCTACATTTCTTAGATCAAGAAACTGAGGCTCAGAGAGGTAAGTAAACTTGCTTAAAGAAGTGTCTAAGCAAGGATTTGTACCTACCTCTGAATTTTGTGCTCAAAATCACAAAATCAGGGAATATGCATGAGAATCACATTGAGAGCTTGTTAAAACACAGATATCTGGTTCCTTTCCCAAAATGTAGTAGGGCTGGGATGGGAACTGAGAATAGAGATTTCTTACAAGCTCCCAGGCAATGTTGGTTCAGAGATTACACTTTGAGAACTGCTGCCTATACAGTTGGCAGAAGTAGAGTGAGAAAACTCCTCCAGATTATCAATCATGGGATACAAATTCTGGTGTGGCCATGTGACATTCATGTCAACTATGCTCACATATATCATCTTGCTGTGGGATCAGCAGAGCAAAAATCAAATATCCCTACTTTACTGATGAGTAAATGTCCCCAGGGCATCATTGGTTAAGAAGTGGTGGAGCCAGACTACATACTAGATCGTTGGTCTCACGTTTCAGTGCTTTTTCCACCACAGGGGTAGATGAGGAATGAAAATGGAACAGCAGGGGAAAATCATCAAAATGAAAGCTGCTTGGCAGAAATAAGTATTTTTGAAAAAGTATATTTTAAAATGGTGAAACAGGGCAGGTAAACCAGAAAGTGCATAGCTCTAAAACAAACTTGAGTAGGGAAAACCTAAGTGGATGCTTAAGGCTGCTAAATGTCTTTTTCTTTCTTTCTTTCTTTCTTTCTTTCTTTCTTTCTTTCTTTCTTTCTTTCTTTCTTTCTTTCTTTCTTTCTTTCTTTCTTTTCTCTCTCTCTCTCTCTCTCTCTCTCTCTCTCTCTCTCTCTCTCTCTCTCTCTCTCTCTCTCTCTCTCTCTCTCTCTCTCTCTTTGAACCTGTAATCTTTTGGTGTATGGGACTATGCTCAAAGCATGTGAGCCACCAGCCAGGGCTGAATTTCTTGCTCTGATTGTCAGATGAATTGAATTCTAAAAGCAGTGGTTCCCAAAGTGTGGCCCCAGACAAGCAGTATTAGCATCACCTCAGAGTTTTTAAAAGTGCTGATTGTCAGGTTCATTCTAGACCTGCTGAATTGGAAACTCTGGTGGTGGGGCCCAGCAATCTGTGTTTTAATCAGCCTTCCAGGTGATGCTAATGAATGCCCAAAGTGAAGAATTGTTTAAAATATTACTGCTGACAGCATGATATAGTAGAAAGGTGGTGAGCTTTAGGGTTAGAGCCTTCCCCATGCCACCTGCTATTAGCATAATTTTGATTTGCCATTAGACCACTGGAACCTCTATTTCTTCTTCTTCTTCTTTTTCTTCTTCTTCTTCTTCTTCTTCTTCTTCTTCTTCTTCTTCTTCTTCTTCTTCTTCTTCTTCTTCTTCTTCTTCTTCTTCTTCTTCTTCAAAATTGGGGCTACCATGAGCTCCCCCAATGGGTTCTTGTAAGACTCTCTATGCTTAAAAAAAGGAAGCCCATGAAAACATTTTTCTCCCACTCTTCTCCAGCTTTATTGTCATATAATTAGCATATAACATTGTATATGTAATGGTTTTTCTGAATTAAGTGTTTAGGGATCTAGAAGGGGCTAAATAGAAGTTTATTATTATCTTTCAGAACTCCCACTAAGAGTTCATTATTTAATGATCACCTTGATATCACCATGTCCCAGCCACTCTTCTGAGCCGTTATAAAAGGTGATTCATTTTATAATGAGGTGACTCATTTTAAGTCACCCAATAAACCTTTGAAGTAGGCACTATTATTAGCTCCATTTTATAGATGAGGAAACTGAGGCACAGAGAAGGTAAGCAAGTTGCCCTAGATTAATCATTTCAGTTGCAGAGCTGCAATTCAAACTCAGGTCATATAACCCAATCTTTATGTGTTTAAGTACTGCACTACCTTAACTTCTCTGCTATACTAGGCTCAGTAGCTTGATGGTAATGCACCTATCCTATATAATAAAGAGACAATATGCAAATTGACCATCACTCCAACACACAAGATAGCCACTCCCATGTGGACACAAGATGGCCACCACAAGGTGGCTGGCAGGGGAAGGCAGTTGAGAGGGACCAGGACTAAAAGGGAGGGCAGTTGGGGGGGGACCGGGTATGCAGGAGAGGACAGTTAAGAGCAGCCAAGCTAGCAGGGGAGGGCAGTTAGGGGCAATCAGGCCAGCAGAGAAGCCATTAAGGGCGACCAGGCTGGCAGGGGAGAGAAGTTAGGGGTGACCAGGCCAGCAGGGGAGGGCAGTTGGGAGCAACCAGTTAGGAGTGACCAGGCCAGCAGGGGAGGGCAGTTGGGAGCAACCAGGCCTGCAGGGGAAGACAGTTAGGGGTGATCAGGCCAGCAGGGGAAGGCAGTTAGGGGCAATCGGGCTGGCAGGGGAGCAGTTAGGTGTCAATCAGGCTGGCAGGGGAGTAGTTAGGGCATGATCAGGCTGGCAATCAGGCAAGCAGGCGAGTGGTTGGGAGCCAACAGTCCTGGATTGTGAGAGGGATGTCCCTCAAAGGGTCCCAGATTGGAGAGGATGTAGGCTGTACTGAGAAACACACACACACACACACACACACACACACACACACACACGAATTTCATGCACTGGGCCTCTAGTAGATTAATAATAATGGGGGAATTCATAATTGTGAGAATCACTGAATGCTA